ACACACACACACACACACACACAAACACAGACACACACACACACACACGTGTGCATGCATTAGATCAACCATATTTCATATCTCACTCAGGAACTGTATTAATATTCTGTTTATTTTTACATATATGTTTCATCAGATTGAGACACACTGAGACTCTCTTAATGGAGTTTAATCCTTTAAAAATGTGTGTGTGTGTGTGTGTGTGTGTGTGTGAGTGTGTGTGTGTCTGTGTGTGTGTGTGTGTGTGTATGTGTGTGAGTCTGTGTGTGTCTGTGTGTGTATACTGTATATATATATGGGGTCACACATGTAAATATTGTATATGCATTTTATATACAAGTTTGTGTACATAAAGTCCATAAAACATCAACACAATACTGAAAAATACAATAGTAAATTAAAGCTGCAAGCAGCGATGAACGGGCCCTCGCACCCGGGCTCACCGCCAGCGGGCGGCTTTAGTAAAACAGTCAACGGCGAGCAATATGGATTTAAAGTGGTCCATATAGGAGGAATATGTCAAAGTCATTTATATGTGGCAATCTTCCTGCTGCCAGCTGGTGGCGCTATGACTGTAATCGAATATGAGTATGTAGATGTCTTCAGGCCAGGACTCTAATCAAACATGTGAAGTTTGAGGCAGATTGGACATTGTATGCATGAGTTACAACAACTTCCTGTTTGATGGTGTTAATAGCATGCTTTAGCACTTAGCTAAGTGTTGCTAGCATGTTTGAGCATATTTCTAGCATGTTTAGCACACAAAGCCATATTTTTACTGTGTTGCTAATAGTGCATCACAGTGTTAAACATGTCACTTCCTTTTGCCAATAGGTGGCGCTATAATTGTAACCAAATATAAGCATGTAGATGTCTTCAGGCCAGGACTCTAATCAAACATGTGAAGTTTGAGGCAGATTGGACACTGCATGCTTGAGTTACATCAACTTCCTCTTTCACTGCATTAATAGCATGCTTTAGCACTTAGCTAAGTGCTGCTAGCATGTTTTAGTATGTTTCTAGCATGTTGCCAGCCTATGTAACAGATGCTGACGAATTTTTATATGTTCCTAGGAGTCCATAACAGTGTTAAGCATGTCACTTCCTGTTGCCAGCAGGTGGCGCTATGAGAATAACTGAATTTGGGCATGGGTATTTGTTCAGGACATAACACCTATATAACGTGTGAAGTTTGGGGCAGTTTGTAGACTGCATGCCTGAGTTACAGTAACTTCCTCTTTCACTGCATTAATAGCATGCTTTAGCACTTAGCTAAGTGTTGATAGCATGTCTTAGTATGTTTCTAGCATGTTGCCAGCCTATGTAACAGTTGCCGACGAATTTTTATATGTTCCTAGGAGTCCATAACAGTGTTAAGCATGTCACTTCCTGTTGCCAGCAGGTGGCGCTATGAGTATAACCGAATTTGGGCATGGGTATTTGTTCAGGACATAACACTTATCAAACGTGTGAAGTTTGGGGCAGATTGGACACTGCATGCCTGAGTTACAGTAACTTCCTCTTTCACTGCATTAATAGCATGCTTTAGCACTTAGCTAAGTGTTGATAGCATGTCTTAGTATGTTTCTAGCATGTTGCCAGCCTATGTAACAGTTGCCGACGAATTTTTATATGTTCCTAGGAGTCCATAACAGTGTTAAGCATGTCACTTCCTGTTGCCAGCAGGTGGCGCAATGAGTATAACTGAATTTGGGCATGGGTATTTGTTCAGGACATAACACTTATCAAACGTGTGAAGTTTGGGGCAGATTGGACACTGCATGCCTGAGTTACAGTAACTTCCTCTTTCACTGCATTAATAGCATGCTTTAGCACTTAGCTAAGTGCTGCTAGCATGTTTTAGTATGTTTCTAGCATGTTGCCAGCCTATGTAACAGTTGCCGACGAATTTTTATATGTTCCTAGGAGTCCATAACAGTGTTAAGCATGTCACTTCCTGTTGCCAGCAGGTGGCGCAATGAGTATAACTGAATTTGGGCATGGGTATTTGTTCAGGACGAAGAAGAAGAAAAAGAAGAAGAAGAAGAATAATAAGAAACGGAGCAATTCCAATAGGGTCCTCACACCATCGGTGCTCGGGCCCTAATAACAAAATCACGTATTATATATGAGCCAGTGTTATTTTAGTATTATTATAGTTTTTGATCATTTTAAAATTAGATTTTATTTTTATATTTTCTGTTTTAATTCAAATGTTTAAAGTTTTAGTAATTTTGTTGTGTTTGTCATTTTTAGTATTTTTTAAAATAAGTCTGTATAGTTTTTAAATAGTCCGTATAGTAATTTAATTAAACAAACCTTTAACTTGAGACATGATGAAAACAAAAATTAGACGTTATATATTAATATATAAATATATGTGTGTGTTTGTGTGTGTGCAAATAAAAAAATATATAATAAAATATATTAAAATTCTAAATGTAAATATATATATATATATATGTGTGTGTATCCATCTATAATAAATATATTAAATAAAATTATAGAAATATTAGAAATATTAAAAAATGTAAAAAATGATTATGAATTATAAAAAAATTATTATTATTATGAAAATTTTTAAAATATATGATTTTTAAAACTATATAAATATACTATATGAAAATATAGCATTTTTTATTGTTGCTATTTTATTTCACTTAATGTTTATTTTGTTTTAAGTAATTATTACAAATTTTTATGCGTTTTTAAGTTTTTATTACTAGTTTATTTAGTAAAGTTATTTTAGTATTTCAGATTAAACTAAACATAAATGAGAAATATTAGGGTTAGCTGACTAGCTCAAACAAAATAAGTATATATATATGATAATGATATTTTTGTAATGGTTTTAGTTTTAGTAAACTATAATAACCCTATGTGAATTAAAAATTTCATTCAGTGTTGGTTCTTCACATGTCAGTATTCACACTAAACACACTGAAGATCAAAGGGACACATGTGTCACTAGACCACACCCCTTTTGACCAGCCCTCTCTGCTGATTGGCAGTCCGGACAGGGCTACACGCCCCTCTGCCAGCTGATTGGCTGAGAGGGCTGCAATAAAAACCCCAAATAATGAGCCCACGAGGGACACAGACACTTGCCGTGATCTGAACGCAGGAGGAGGACACGCAGTTCGCTTCAGGATGAGAGGATCCAGAGAGTTTTTATGAACCTCCTGTGGATTTACAGAAGCATGGAGATGATCCGAGTTCTGCTGGTTCTGCTGGTTCTGGGGTCGGCGGAGGGCAGGAGGGTTCGGGGTCAGCGGACTCAGACACCCGAGAGCTTTCCTCTGGACTTCACAGCTGTGGAGGGAAACATGGAGAGCTTCATGACTCAAGTGAAGAACTTGGCTCAGTCCCTGTATCCCTGCTCGACTCAGAAACTGGACCAGGAGATGAAGCTTCAGTTCCTGAGGAACTCATCGGTCACCTGTAATGACGGTTCACCTGCTGGGTTAGTGATGCTTTCTGTGTGTTTCTGCTTCTGTGTGGTGTAGTGGTCAAACATCTGCTGAATGGAAGGTTGTAGGTTCAAAGCTCACAGGGTTTGATTCATTATCCATCACTGTGAAAAATATCAGCAACGCAAGTTACAAAAAGATGTTCTAAGAACGTTTTGCAAACATTCTATGAAAAACATTACTCCTCTCAACGTTCAAAACATCAAGTTTTTAAAAATGTATTTTTTAGTTATACGAACATCAAGGGAACATTCCATTTTATAATTTTGCGAACATTACGAGAACGTTACTTCTGAATGTTCAAAACATCAAGTTTTTAAAAATGTATTTTTTAGTTATACGAACATCAAGGGAACATTCCATTTTATAATTTTGCGAACATTACGAGAACGTTACTTCTGAATGTTCAAAACATCAAGTTTTTAAAAATGTATTTTTTAGTTATACGAACATCAAGGGAACATTCCATTTTATAATTTTGCGAACATTACGAGAACGTTACTTCTGAATGTTCAAAACATCAAGTTTTAAAAAAAATCTTTTTTTAGTTATACGAACATCAAGGGAACGTTCCATTTTATAATTTTGTGAACATTATGAGAACGTTACTTCTGAATGTTCTCTCAATGTTCAAAACATCAAGTTTTTAAAAATGTTTTTTCTCGGTTATGCGAACGTTGAGGGAACATTCAACTTTATTATTTTGCAAACGTTATGGAAACGTTACTTTTGAATGATCTGAACAAGTAGCATCATTCAAAAAATGTCAAACAATCATTCAACTATAACATTTTAACAAAAAAATGTACAGATAATGTTCTTGTGAACATTGAGATTTATTCCATTAATGTTACTGGATTAACGTTTGTTCGTAACTTTGAGAGAACACTGCTAGAACGTTAAGGATCTTCTGAAAATGTGAGAACACGCTCTGTTAGCTAGGAACATATAATTAAATAAAAAAATAATCTCTACCTATCTATAAATATACTATGGTGGTACTATGGTACAGTTCAATAGAGTGTTTTAAAAATGTTTTTCTTGGTTATGCAAACGTTATGGGAATGTTCCATTTTATAATTTAGCAAACGTTACAGAAACATTACTTATGAATGTTTTTTGAATGCTCTGAAACAAGTAGCATCATTTAATTATTTAACGTTAGATGAATGTTCAACTAAAATGTTCCATGAATGATGTAGCCTATAAATGTGTAACATTATTAAAGAGCAGACAACTTTGAACAAACGTTCTATTAATGTTACTTGAAGAATGTTTGTTCAAAACTTTGAAAGAACCTTGCCAATTAGATAAAACATAAGCTCTGTCTATCTATCTATCTATCTATCTATGGTAATACCAAGGTAAAGGTCTTTTATGTACATTTTGTCACAGGTGTTTTTGCAGGGTTATATGTGTATGGTATCCTAATTTTATTTAATCACATTTTAAGTCTGTTGTTTCGTTAAGTGAGCTCTCTTTTAATAGCACGAGCCAGATAGGCCTAATTACCGAAACCGCCATAATTAAAGTCAAACTGAAGTGAAGCGTGCGGCGGAGGGTCAGAGATATTAATTCCTCACATTCCCAGACAGCAGCAGGGATGGTGGGAATGATCCGGGGAGAAATGCTGCGGTTCGGTTTGTCTCGGCATCTTCTGGGACACTTATGGTTTCGAGTGAAAGTACGCAAATAAGGCACGCGCCGCAGGTGGGAGGAGTGACGTCACGCGCACGTGGTTCGATCGGTGACTTTCAGAATCTTTAAAACCCATAAAGCCAATCCAAAAACACATACAATCTTTACCATGCCTTATGCAATCTACTTATAAGTTATAAATGTTAATCAGATACGTAGATGTATTTGACCTGAAGTCATACGTTTAAATGACACTAAGCATTTTTTTAATTCTTCCAATTAATTAAGAATGCTTAATGTATATATATATATATACACACAAAAATAATGAAGAAGGTTCGAAAAGCTCCAGTTTAAACACTTCAAAGGGATTCCAGCAAACCAGACACTGATCTTTATATGAGCCACGTCTGACACACACACACACACACACACTCAACCGCGCAAAAACAAACATGGGATAACCACATATACCCTCATATAGACTTCTGCCCACATCTGAGCCCTCAAACACACACACACACATTCACACACAGATTCACACACTCACACACACACACACACACACACACACTCTCTCTCTCTCTCTCTCTCTCTCTCTCTCTCTCTCTCTCTCTCTCTCAGATAT